CAGCAAATAGAAATAGAATGACTGTGGCGAAAAGAAAGCAAAGATAGCACCAATAGTAGTAGGTGCCTAGGATACAACGCCAAAACAACTGGAGTCTCACTTGAATACTATTGGCATTGACAAAATCACCATCGGTCAATTGCAATGGCAGCTTTTACTTGGAACAGCTTACATCCTGCAACAATACCTTTAACACCATCAACAACACCAACGCCTATCTTGGGTCCTTGGGAAGGACTCAATAGGTAGATAAAAATGCCAAATCCAGTCTAAACATCTGGCTGACTGTGTGACCAACAATAATAACAATGGATGGTCCTATTAACTCTTGCGGGTTCATACAGAACACTTTGGAGAACTCTATTGAAATATGTTAATTTCAACGTCTCCAACCTGATATCCTCCAGCTATATTAGGTCACACTACACATCATTACCAGCTAATATGATCACAGGTTGACTGATTCTTAGAGTTGAGGTCCAAGAATTTTTGGAGGGCATCAGACTAGGATAATAACTGGTTTTGCATAGCTAAAATATCCAAACCTATTATTTTTTAATAGGCAATGTTTCCGGTGGCATATTTAACATCAATGAAAATATATTTGCTTTATATTTTAGGGCCACAAAGGAGCAAAAGGTGAGAGTGGGGAACCAGGAAAGCAAGGCTTTAAGGTAAGAGGATGTAGAATGTGATTACATACAAATCAGCTGGAATAGTGATGGTTTATGGAGGAAAAATGTTTAACGTTGCTGTGTATTTAAGAAAGGAATAATAACAATCTTCTTAGAATTAATCTTAGCATGTCTCCACTATTTTCATAGCAGTTAGTTACAGCAGCTAATAATGGCCCCCTGAATCACTAAAAATAATGTGCTTTGTTTTGCTTTTTATGACATGTGAACAAATCTTGTGATTTGTAAACTGCAGTTTATGCTTTAGCATACAGTTTGTTCAATCAACCATGGCTGAAAGCAGTAATGATTTAGTGTGATATTGTGTATCCTCAGCTTTTCATCCCCTTTATTGCCTGGTTACACTCTTTCCCTAATAAGTCAGCCCGATTTTAATGTGCGCTGCCTCCACGCTTACATATATGGGAAATACATAAATAATACAATAGATAATATCGATGGAAACAGAGTAAATTATGTATGCTAATTTTTAGAATGTGTTGTTAACTAACTTGTGCCTTGTATATATTTTTAGGGAGAAGAAGGCGAACAAGGACGAATTGGTGACATCGGAGATCAGGGCCCTCCAGTAAAGTTTTTCCTTTTATTTAACTTTTTAGTTGCGTTTCATCATATTGAGATGTAAAAAATCAAGTGAAGCCAATAGTCCTCTATTTCTTATCATTTATAAGTTCCTGATCTGACTGTTTCATGACCGTCTCATGATCAAACTAGTGGGAGTCCTTTTTCTCCTGCGTTCCCTACTAATCGAAACCAGAACTACCTGCATTTTTCTTCAGCACATTCAGTGTTGAAACCAATTGCTTAATTTGTTACCTGCTTTGAACCAGACTGAAAGGATAACAATAAATAGGTATGCCATTCACAGTAGGAAGGAAACTGACAACTGTGAGAAGCAGCTATGCCTGAGTCACGTCTTCTTCCCATACAGGTAGCCCTCAATTTACAGTCATAACTGAGCTCAAAATTTCCAATGCTAAGCAAGAGAGATATTAAGTGAGTTTTGCCCCATCTTACAGTCTTTCTTGGCACATTTGTACAGTGAATCACAGCAGTTGTTAAGTTAGAAACATGTTCTGACCCCCTCCTCTGTCCAGAAAGGAAAGCCAAGACAAGCTTAACTAGAATGTACTTTTAATAGCAAGAAGCCAAAATCTCGGTGGCTGAAAGCCAAGCAAATAAACATATAAGGACCTTGGCAGCAAGCCCGACAAACCTTGGCAG